GCACCCCCGGGACGTGGCAGATGGGGACAGCACAGGGGATGGGGGGACCGACAGCATGGGGGGGTGGAAAGCTGGCGCTGTTTTGTCGCCACCGCAGAGTCTGGACGAGGGGGAGAGGACATGGGATGACGCACCAGACGCTGAGTACCAGAACACGTTTGTGAAGGTGATAAAATGCTGGCAGGTGTTTTCCAGCCAGCTGCTGGAGGCTCCAGGGGTGGAGAGAGAATCAAAACTTGATCAACGGGGGGGGGCTTAAACCACTCGGCCCCCCAGCAGTCCTTTCCCCCCGTGCTGCCTCTCCCCTGCCTTCACGTTTCTGCCCGCGCAGGCAAGGCCGAGCCGCCGCTGTTGCCCCCCCGAGGCTCGCTCTGACACGGGGCAGCCCTGGGACGTGGGTCCAGACGGGCTGCTTGGGCGGGGGCCGGGGGGGACTCAGCAACGGCAGCAAGGAAAACATTCCCAACTGCCCCCTGGTTTGCAGCGATTTTCCCGGCGCTGAGGCCGGGTGGGAAGCACGGGAGCTGTGTGAGGGGGCCCCAGGGCAAAGGACAGGAGTTAAGCCGGACACGCAGCCTCTGCTACCCAGGGCAGTTGCCACCAGCCCCAGCCTAAGCCCAGCCTAGTGTCTGACCCAGTGTCTGGCCCTGGGCACCGGCTCACTCAGCTTTTCGCTGAGCGTGAGAGCAGCGCAAGTGGAGGCCGCAGGGATAAATCCGGCCCCAGCAAGACTCAAAGCTGAGTCTTCGCTCCCTGACCGCGTGCTGAGCCAGAGGCTGCTGGATCCTCGCTGCTTTACGCTCCCCTGCACTAGTGTGGAGGGTAAAACCAGGCCTAAGAACACTCAGCTGAACATCAGGGTGGGCAGAGACAAAGCCCCTCCCAAGCCCAGTGCCAGTTAGGCCTCCCTTTATTGGCAGCTCTGGATTAAGAAAGCCCCGGCGAGGAGCCCGCGGGCAAGGACAAAGCCGGGTCCTCAGACAGGGCAGGCGGCGGGAGAGCTGCGGACACCAAGAGAAACGGGGAGAAGATAAAACAGCCCAAGGTACCCCGAGCTGCACAAGGAGCTCGGGACCAGACTGAGCCTTGGGGGGGACCAGAAGAGCTGACAACCCCCCTGCCTCCCCGCTGAAGACTCTTCCCCTGCCGGAGGCCTGGAGCCAGACCCCTGCGTGAGCTGCAGACTGGGGGGGCGGGGGCCAGGATTGTGCCCCGACCCCCCCTGTCTCTCAGCAGTTCTAAACCTTGCCTTGCCCAGGACCGGGGGGTCCCAGCAAGAAGGGCCCCCCTACCCCTGCCCCCAGGAACAGGGAGTTCTACTGGGGACTAAGGACTTCTCCCTACTAGGGGGGTCCCCACTATCAAGGACCCCCCCACACACCTTGCTCCTACCTACACTGGCCCCCCCGCCCCCCCCTGCACCCCCAGG